GCAACAATATTTTATTATTCCGTTTCGACTAGTGTACTAAATGAAATATAGATGGCAACTCAAAGTCAAATGTAGCCTACTCACAGTCTGATATGCGGAAGAACAGGGCTGAAAGTTGATGACCTGGCGGTTAGGGCGCTTGACTCGCAATCTGAGGGTCGCGGGTTTGAATACCCGTCACCGAACATGCTCGCCCTTTCAGCCGTGGAAGCCTTATAAAGTGTCACTCAATCCCACTATTCAAAGAGTAGCCCAAGAGTTGACAGTGAGTGGTGATGACTAGCTGCCTTCCTTCCCTCTAGTCTATCACTGCTAAATTGGAACAACGGTAAGTTTTCGGATTTACAACGCTAAAATCCGGGGTTCGATTCCCCCTCAGTGGACACAGCAGGTAGCCAGATGTGGCTTTGCTATAAAAAAACAAAAAACATTCACACTGCTAAATTAGGGACGGTCAGCGTATATAGCCCTCGTGTAGATTTGCGCGAAATTCAAGCCAAACCAAACTGAAAGTTTACGCGTTTCATTTAAATTATATAAAACACAGATAGAGACTTAATAATTCAGTGAACATTACTAAGCTTAATTTTCTAATTATTTTAAAATAATAGTATATTTTCGAATATTTTCACAAAGCTACTGAAACCGTCCCTAATTTTGAGATAACAGACTAGAGGAAAGGCAACTATTCAACACTACCTACCGCCAACTCCCTACTCTTGTCTGACCGAATAGTAGGATTTGACTGTTACCCTTGTAACGCACCGACATCTACAATGTGCGAACTCACAGATTCACCGCCCGGCACGCTAAACACTGGGCAACATTCGGCCCTCTGTATGATATACGCCATTTTATTATATCTCTTTCTGTTTAACTGTTCTTAAAATTTTGACTTATGTTACTTATTGTAGAGAAGAAGGTATTATAGTCGATGAAAAAACATAATGAAAAATAGAAAACCTAAAACAAATAAAGTTACTTTGAAATTTAGAGACATAAGGCTTAACACACCTGGTATCTTATACTCGTGACATAAACAGAGAAGGTATTCCATCGTCTGAACTGGAATGTTTCCATCAAATACCACAAGAGGCGCTTCCTTTAGTCGCTCCTCAAACTGTTGAACCTTAAAAAAAATAGTATTTTACTTATTAGATGAAAATTATTTATAGACTCTTCAGCAAGTAAATATTTGTAAATCATCGGTAAATTGAAAGAATTACATAAAACCTCCAAGCGTATTGTGAAGTTAGTAACAAACTTGAAGTTTGGAGATAAAGTAGTTGAAATAATTTATAACCTGAGCGACACCTTACGTGAAATCCCCCCCCCCAGTAGCACAGCGGTATGTCTGCGGACTTACAACGCTAGAAACCGGGTTTCGATACCCATGATGGGCAGAGCACAGATAGCCCTTTGTTTAGTTTGTGCTTAACTACAAACAAACAAACAAACGTGAAGTAAATGTCCGAGGATCTAAACGTGAGATTTATATACAGCTGTGCCCCCAGTGGCACAACGGTATATCTGTGGACTTACAACGCTAGAATCCGGGTTTCCATACCCGCGGTGGGCAGAGCACAGATATCCCTTTGTGCAGCTTTGTGATTAACTTAAAAAACAAACAAACAGATACAGCTGTTCCTAATTATGAGCTACTGTCCATATGAAGACAGCCAGCCAGTAGCATCAGTCGCCACAAAGGCTTTATATATTTGAGCCGAATAATGGAATTGACTGTCACTTTTATAACCCGCCCACATCTGAAAATGAGGATCTTGTTCAGCGGCATTACTTCTCGAACCATGGACCTTTCGATACGTAACCCAACATGCTAACCAGTGGGTCATGCCCGGCCAGAATGATTAAGAGAAATCCTACTAAATCAGAGCTAGAACTTTTAAAACAAAACGTTCCTAAAAATTAATGAATAAAATGAACTTGAATGTAGAAACTAAACGTTTTAGAAGTAAACCACAAAAAAACATTAAACTAGAGAGAAACGGTTCTAGCCAACGACAAGAAGCTATTAAAAAGGGGATTCTAACTTAAATACCACAACACCTTTCGAAAAATAACCATTAAAATGATTTGAAAATTATTAAAATAAAATTATTAAAAATAAAAGACAGTTCCGGAAAATAAGTTATTAATTATGTGTTTAAGTTGCAAGAAGTAAAGTAGTCGTGGGAAAAAAATCTACTCAATAAAAGCTTGTATTAAATAAAGAATTAAACTTGGATAATGTATAATGATTTGAAGCTGGATAGTCTAGATTCAACATATATATATATAAATTTAGCTTGGCTGAAAAAATAGCTCTAATACATTAAAAGTTAAAGAACGATCAACCCTCAATCAGATTTTGATTTTCTTGGAACAGCATCAGGGTCCTGAAAATTCCGTAACATTACAGCCTATGTTAAATCTCATAAAGATACACACAGTTGTTTCTTTCATCTGTTTTGTTTTGTACTACTGATGCATTTATTGCAGAAAGTCTTATTCATAGGGTAGGCACTATTTTCAATACTTCTACAAATTTAGTACTGTATACGTTCGGTAGCTCCGTGATGTACTCAACGTGATTAACTGTGACGTAGTTATGATGTACTCACGTGTTTAACTGTGATGTAGCTATGAACATCTAGATCTCCTATACCAAACAGGAACTCCCCCTCTCTGTCCACGATGGCACAAAAGGTGGCAGTGGAAGACTCTGGAATTACGGCAATACCTAGTGGATCCTTTGAAAGAACAAATATTGAAACGAATAAATAAATAAGCTGTAACGAGAATCTAAAACAAAGAACAACACCAAAAACTTTCTCAATAGGTAGCACAACAAACATCATACTACCTTCGTTGTTGTTATGATTAGTGAATACCACACCAGTCTCTTTATCAGTAAGACCCAAGATTGAATTTCGGCAATTAACACCACAGAAATATAGTCTTTCTCATGACCTCTCTGAAGACGGTAGAAGATTAGAATCTGAAACCTATAGTGTGTAAAACTAGCTAGTGATTAGCTTTTGTAATAATGAGACAATTAAGTAATTAATAATTAAACTTGGCTAATCGTATAGCATACTAACCAGGGCAACGGTTGAGATTCGATCGCCATAATCTTACAAAGTACACAATACTGCTTTTCTCATTAAGATATTGGGATTTAACCTTCGTTGAGGTTCAATGTCTGTAAGAAATATGGAAAAAGAGTCGTCGTTGACCAGTTGTTTGTCCCCACATCTGCAGATTTTTATAGGCATGTACCAGTTGTTTGTCCCCAGATCTGCAGTTTTTATAGGCATGTACCAGTTGTTTGTCCCAACATCTGCAGTTTTTATTGACATGTACTAGTTGTTTGTCTCCACATCTGCAGTTTTTATAGACATGTACCAGTTGTTTGTCCCCCGCACCTACAGTTTATTATAGACATGTACCAGTTGTTTGTACTCACATCTGCAGTTTTTAAAGACATGTACCAGTTGTTTGTCCCCACATCCGCAGTTTTTTATAGACATGTACCAGTTGTTTGTCCCCACACCTACAGTTTATTATAGACATGTACCAGTTGTTTGTACTCACATCTGCAGTTTTTAAAGACATGTACCAGTTGTTTGTCCCCACATCTGTAATTTTTTATAGACATGTACCAATTGTTTGTACTCACATTTGAAGTTTTATAGACATGTACCAGTTGTTTGTCCCCACATCTGTAATTTTTTATAGACATGT